AAGATTTAAAAAGGTGAAACTTTTTTTCCCTATCCCTGTCCAGACACTTGGACTGTGTCTAGACTGCATCCCTTTTCCGTAAAAGGGATGCAAATTAGACACATCGCAATTGCAAATGAAGGGGGGATTTAAATGTTTAGATGCCATATTCCTTATTTTAATAGGAATAAGGGATCTTTCTGAAAAGGCTTTATTTTCCGAAAGATCCGTGTCTAGACTGGTGCTTTTTTCCGGCAAAGCTCTGAGCCGGAAAAAAGCGGCAGTTATGTTTATGCAAATGAAGCGGGGGAGATTTAAATTTACGGAAAAGGGATGCAGTCTAGCCACAGCCTTGGTATTTCCCATATATTTCTGTGGCTAGTGTAGTATTGGATACAAAATGATAATGGATCTTTCTAACCTTAGCATCTTCGAATCTGTATCAATAGAAAATGTTTGCTAAGAAGAAACAGCATAACCACCATCCCTTCCCCATATACACCACAATGATAAGATTAAAATTCTATGTACTTGGTCTCTCAGAATCAGTTTCTTGTAACGAGAAAAAAATGCCCCAAAAGCTAGAATAAAGAAACTTTATTCTTACCAAATTACAGTCCACTTAAGAACATTGTTTTAGTTTCCAGCAAGAGAAGGATATTGGCTTTTGAGAGGAGCTGTTATAGAAAGACCTGGAGAATAGGATGGGTGCAGAAGATCACCAACGCGGAATTATGTAGGAAGATATAGCTGAAAGAGAACCTACTGCAGAAAGTTATACAACGGAAGTTACAGCTATTCGGGCAAATCTGCAGAATGAACGACGAGCGAAAAGTTAAGACCCCGGTATTCAGCATAATGGATGGTCCGAATAGGAGAGGCAGACCCCACAGAGAATGGGTAGATTATATAGTAAAATGGTGCGGAGCTAGTCTACAGAAGCTAAGCCACTCCGCACTGGACAGGGAAAGATGGAAGGAAATAGTGAGGGAGGCATTGGACACCAACGGGCACTGAGCCCATGGTTATTGTTGATGATGAAACGCAACTAAGTTTATTAACAGTTAAACTCCTTTGATAAAGGTACCCCAAGTTTTTTAGTGATACCCCATACTCTGCCAACCGTGTTTGTGGCTCCTGTAGGTTTCTGCTATGGGTTCTCAAACTTCATTGCACTCCAATCTCCTTCTGACAATAAAAATTACTGCACAACCCTAGGAGAAAGGACCAAAATCTGATCCCCATTGCCCCAGGTCCATAGGCCAAAAACAAAGCCCTAGGGCTTCAGCCCCAGAGAGGACACCTGTTACTGCAGCTGCACCACCCAGGGCTAAAGTCCTTATAAGCTTTGTCCCTGGGCAGTGGGCCTCAGGCTTTGTTTTCGGCCCCAGCAAGTCTTCATGTCAGGCCTGGTGACCCCATTAAACCAGGTTCAGGACCCATAGTTTGAGAACCGCTGTCTAATGTAATACCTTTGTGTCTCAGTTGTGCTCTCCACAAGAAATGCTTTGGAATAACCAAAATCCAGTCAATCTTTTAACATTTTGGTGTATTTTATTGACACAAAAATATTCAAATACAACATGGCATCTAAACATGGCTACGCTTTTGTATTTTGTGCATTTTAATATGTTTTATTAATAAATCATAACTTTATTTACCTTCACCCTCATGTTTAATATGCATTATTCTTCATTTCCAGGTATGACCAGTTCTCCCTTCTGCTTTTTGTGCTGAGTATTCAGTTTTCCCTAATTATTTCCCAGCACTGCTTTTCAGTCTGCCAGTGTGGGAAGTTCCCAAGTGATATTCTGATTTACCTTGCCATCTACCCTCTTTCTTTGAGACATTCTGCTCTGACTGGCTCAGAGGCTTTGACCCTGGATCTATCTCTATATTTCACATCTGAAATGTGCTAGATAAATCACCCCTGGAGTCAGACACACATCTTTCAACTACAATCCCTTCCCTCTGTTTTTGGTGAGAGTACAGAGTTTTGGGAAAGGTGAGATAATGGGGTAATACTGACAAAAAACCTCCTCCTTCTTCTTGCTCTCTACCTTCCAGCTCTGTCCCACACTTCAATGTGCATTCTCGCATGAGGGCACTGAGTTCACTGCAGCCACGCCAAAAGGACTGACCTGGGAATGATTCAGCTGCAAATATTTTAGTATAGTTACATTGTAAGTCAAGTCAAAACCCGTATTTTGTTATTTGTAATGGATCACCAGTTCCTCAAAGACCAAGTGAACCAGGTATTTGTGGTCTAGTCAGTCTTCATTGTTCTGGAAACCCAAATCAAGTCTTGTGTTTCATATAACTTGTGTTTTTCAACAGCAGCTATGAATTGGCTTAAACCAACATTTAATATACAATAACTCTTAATTTACATTTTGAAATATATGACAGGCTGTATTTCAGTCCAAGATTTCAGTTTGTAGAAGAATATATCTGGAGTGCAAAAGCCTCCAAGAAAGGCTGAGGATACTCTGGAATCTTCTGTTACCAAAAAGGACACCTAAAGATGACAAATGTAATACTTTAAGTGCAGTCTTAGCCATTGCTCCATAAAAACAAAGACTATGTTAAAAAGAACTTAGGTCCCCAATGTCCAGGAACCTTTCTAAAATAACAAGGACACTGAAAATGGGATATGAGACAGAAAATGCTTCTTAATCCCTAACATTCCTAATGTCTGTAATCCCCCCCAAATCGCCCACCAGGATTCATAATTTGCATACAATTTACAGTTAAATCTCAGAAAGATGAAGGCATTGTGAAAGTGTGCTTGTTGACATTAGACTCTGTAATTTCCCTCCTATAACTAGCAATTGGTGATCTACATACAATAGGAACATCTTGTTTCAAATGATTAAAAATTCTGAGTTGATCATCATTTAAATAAGCCCCTTTTCTTTAGTAGCAGACTGCTTGCCTGCTTACGGGCAGTGCCCGCGGTGATGATTCTAAATCAAATTTCCATTTTGTTAGATTTAACAAATCTAACTAATTTGCATTTTGTTAGATTTAATATAATGGTCACAAAAGTTTACAAGCTTACATACAATATCTCCCCAGCCATCCTCAGAATGATTATTGAGATAAACCTAATAATATTTTACTTGACTGTTCTCCATTCCATAAACTCATACCACTATTTATTTCAGAGAAATGGGAGAGAAGATTTTGAAAGGACAGTTTAAAGACAGACTCACCATCCAATGTAGCACTGGCAGAGATTCTCATGCGAAGTAGCTTGCTTAATAAGCAATTCTACTTGCGTGGGTACATCCAGAGTTTCATCGTGAGAGAAGTCTCGGCCTTTACAATTAAAGTGAAAAAAAAAAAAACATTAAAGAAGGATGTAATCCAAATTACATAGTTTAGTTTGGGTGGCAAGTTGTGG